CCCGTTCGTCGTTTCTCGTAAAATCATTTTTGGTAACATCCATGTCGATTCGTTTTTATTGCACGTTTCTATTCTCGACTGTTACAGTTGAATTTGTTGTTTTCTATTTCTTTTGGCATTTAACGAAACTAACGTAACATTATATTACGCTGAATTGCGATATAAAAACAAGCAATGATATCGTGTTAGAAATCTCGTACATTTTATATGGGTTAAAACTCGTGCGAAGTTACCGTTCTTAGAAGCTACGTAAAGGCGGTAAAAGATATTATTTTTAAAATTATTATTTGCCGATACAATACCGTTCTCGCTTCTCGTATAATTAAAACGAACTTACCTTATTATAAGATGTTTATAAGATAAATAATATTGCACGCAACGTCGTCCCGTTATTTCTGAAACGAGGGACTTTCACAACAACAACTATAATGAAATGTACCCCAGATATGATAATTACGGGCATGAAAGATTCACGACTGCTTTCAATGAAGGATTAAAGACAGTACTTTATACCGTAATCAGTATTTAACAGCACAATACAAATACCTATAAAAACAAACGAGGGTCTGTTATAAAGAAACAATTTGGCGTCTCTTACGCGCACGAAAGGGTTAAGGTCGTAAAAATTATTTTCTATAAATCATACCGGCGACTTAAATGCCACGTCGAAACGTTTATGTTAACAAACAGCCCCGAAAAAACAATCACGAACACGATATTCTCGTGCGTTCGTGTGCCGCCACGCGATCAGGGAAACTTTAATTTGTACATATTTAAAAAACGAAGCCTAGGATTGCAGAATAGTAAATGACTTTTCGATTCAGTATATTTTGGTACAGCTAATGCCGATTCTTCTGCTGTTTCTTACACAAAATTCATTTCTCATTCCTCGCGATCACTTGCCCCAAAAACGGATGATCTCCATTTCTCTTCTAGAGATCCATTAAATTCTTCTCTGCCAAGTCATGTGGTACCCACAAATCATGGCTGTTGTTTCCAAGTTGGTTTAAATGCTCGTGTACGAAACCGTTTCGGATCTTCGATATCTCCGGTTCGTTTATCGCGTTGTCATCGATATTATTGCAAATTCTCGAACAACGTGGATGGTATTACGAAATAACAAATGTGCCGCTGAACTATATCAACGACAAACGACGATCGTCGCTCAACTAATGTCACCTGTTAGAAACGCCCCGAACTTTCCGAATAACCGAACGTTTGGAAGTGTTTGGACGAAGTTCGTGAAACATTCGCGTGCGGAGTGATGCAACGAGCGATGGTTCGCCGCATTTTGACGGGACCCGGGCCCTTCGAAGCGAACAAGTGCACCGGGGGATTCTCGGTCGATCCGCTCACGCGATTGTAACTTGTAAAATTTCGCCGGTTTTAATGACTGCGAATTACGCGAGCCACGAATTTCGTTAATCTGGTGGTCGTGGCCCCTTCAGGTGAACGCGAGCATCGACGGGCGATCCGCGTCGTGTCGAAACCCCGTGCGATAATCGGATGAGAGTTTATAAATATGCGATCAGAGAAATTGCATTTTCTCGTTGCATCACGACGAGCGGTTTAACGATACACCACCCGTGCCAAACTCTTTACGACGCTCCGGTAATTACTCCCGACGACGATAATAAAAGCCTGATTAATACAAATAATTATCGGTATCGGTAACGTTCTCTAATTAATACTGCAAATAATTCTTTCCCATTTTACTATCGACGATACTTGTCGAATAATTAGACGTTAAACCGTAATTGCAAAACGATCGGTTGCGATTGTCGGAATGTTCGCGCACGTTGTGAAATATATTAACCCCCAGCTGGTATTGTTCGTTTCGTATTTCGTATAAAATGCAATTTTGTTCTTGCATCGAGAAGAAATCATTTAAAATCGTTACGTTAGTATTCGCAAACCAGATCTGTTCTTTTTTCGGCGAGCAACGTAGGAACGGATTAAAGCGAAATGAAATAGCGTACGTTTGACAAATGGCTCGTAATTAAATCGTTAAGGGGTTAAAAGCTGCCGGTAACGGCCGTTAGAATGAGTTTCATCCAGGTAGATCGACGATCCGTCACTCGGTGCGTCGGCGAGCGTTTTATCGCTTCGTACATACATCCGCGGGGCCCTGACCATCCTTATATCTCGAAGACAAAGTACACGTATCAGGAATGCACGGCGACGTGCACCGGCATACGGTAGCACGGCACGGCATTAATAATTCATAGCGGCGCGAATGGAAGGGTTAGGCTTTGGGGAATTATAAATATTTAGATCGTTGCCGAGATCGCCAGCGAAGAAACGCTGGAAACGCCGTTTTGCGCCCTTTCTTTCCCTCGGTTTTCCTTGTTCTTTCATTTTTTTTTTTATTTTTCGTTTCCTCCGGGGCGATATACACCACGCCCGTTATGCCGCGGCCGCATTGTGCGTGCGTGACTGCGCTCGTTGCTCGACCCGGTACGTATGTATGTACGTATCGTGACTGTCGAATTTCTTTTTCTCGGTTTTTCGTGTCGCCCGCGTATCGTTCTTTTTCGTCCCGTAAATTTCGCCCCGCGGAACTCGTATCGCCACTTGAACTCCGTCGGAACGGCATCGATTTTCGCGAAACGCGATATTAAAAATGGCAAAAGGCGAAACCGTTGGCCCTCGTTTCGCTTATCGAGTGTCTCCCCGCGATCGATGCGTTTGAGTGGCGAACAGTCGGATACGAGGCGGGAGGGAAAAAGAAAAATCGGTATCGCTGTCGAGAATGGCCATTTTTGGGTAGCCTTTTCGAAGCTGGAGCCATTTTGGAGCGCGGTTCCTCTCGATGATATAAAATCACCGATTACCGAGGAACGATCCGCCGCGGGCGTTTACGCAATTGGAAAACGCGCATTATGGGCGCGTTTCGGCGCGTGAGATCGAATTCTTTCCAGCGGTGACTTTTTATTACCGGTTAATGCCACGACTCTGCAGGAGGATTTGCGCAATTCTCTCTTTGTTGCAAAGCAGAATGCGTCTCACCTGTTAAGAAATTGCTGCCATTACGTTTCTTCTAAACCGTATACCTTGTTGCTTTGTCTTGTTATTACGCTATTATCGTTGTTAACTCTTTCTTATCATGACAATTGTATGTTCCGTTGGTTTTACTCTTGCGTTTATCAAGGATAAACGACGATGTTATGCAAATGGTCTAGGAGGGGCTAATCTTTTCATGCAAATGCTCCAAGTCCGCAGAGATTAAGTAAAACCGCACGGTATATCTTGTTTTATTCATTATTTTCGAACGCTTCGTCTATTAATAATTATTTTTACTCGGGATTGAATTTGCAATGGCGTGCAGCCGCACCCTGCTTTTGCGCTATAATTGCTACCAACATTGACCCGCAATTATTTTCTTGTCTTACTTATTCGCGTTTCAGCTTATCATGTTTAATTCGGTTCAACAAAGACCTGTTATTATTATTACGATTTTCAATTTTACTCGTGACTTTATAGCCTCGATACGTCACTGCCACGGGAGCTGTGTTCCACCTATTATCTCTATTAGCAATTAAGCAAATTGCCTACTGTGAACAAGTGTTTATTATTTGTAAAAGTCTCCAGAGTTTTACAGAGCTTTCTCGATATCGTAGGGTCGATTATTATGGGTATTATTATTACTTTGCCCATTTTTTCATTAGTGATATCAAAATATTAAATTTTGTTGACTAACGTAGAAAAATAAAAATTTCTTACTATAGTTTATTGCTTGAAGGTATCAAGAGTTTATTGTGCTATGTTCCTCTAAAATTGCAACCATGATGCATATCCGCTATTTGTTTCCTCAATATTTAATCACAGCAGTCTTTATAATCTACACTGCTACTATATATCCCATCATTAATTCAATTTCAATCTCGTTTCTACTTCCTTTTACATTTCTCATTTTTATTTCAGTACGTCTATAGTACACAATTTTAGTCTTAGAGTTCTTCGGGTTAGATTAAATTACAGCCCTCTACCTCTATACTAAGAATACATTATCATTGCTGTGCTCTTCAAACAGCTGTTCCAACGTTAATTTCACATAAACAAATCCTTCTGCGGACAGTCTTTAAAATATCGATCTTTTCTAACTTCTGGATCAAAGTAACCCCTTCTTTGAGTTCGAAGAAATTTCGACGATAGTGTCAAGCAAGCAGTTTCAGTTGGAATCGAGAACCTGAACGATTCGATAACCGTTTTAACCCAGCGCGCGTTACAGCGGGAAATCGATGCCAGGCCTCTCTCCTTCGAGTGTGTGAATGCACCCCGTTTTATCCTCTCGAAGATACTGGATGGCGCAGCCTCCCCTTCCCGATAAGTTGTAGCGTTCGCGCGACCTCTCTTATTTCCTGACCTCGGCGGCCTTGACCTAGGCCTTCCCTCGCGGGGGTCGATCAATCAATGGGAAGACTGCCGCAGCCTGACATCGACTAATTGCATAAGCGGCCCGATAATGGTTCGTTTCTATTTCCAGGCCACGGGGCGCAATCAAATTTTTACGTTGTCGTACCAAAGTCGCCGGGGCGCGGCTCCGATCGATCAACCGTAGTTTGCCGCGTTAATCGATCGGGAACGCGCGTTAACGCACCAGAAGTCGTCACGGGTTAACGATTGGGAACCAGAATCAACCGGCACAATGCGACGGTGATTACGTTAAAGTTCAAAACTTCGCGGTTCGGTTCCCGGGGCTTTCAATTCCAACGTTACGTAATGTTCGATCGACGCTAATCTCCGCGCCATTGCTGAGAAGTGCTTCTCTTATTAACCCCCTTCAGACCACCCAAATTAAACTTATTTTTACCCCAACGCCAATTCATACATTCGATCGACGAATTTAATTAACATATTCGCAGGGCCTCTTCAGGAATTGTTTTGTACAAATATTTGGTACATTTTAATGCAATTTAAGGGCGGTTTCTGTTATATTTGGAAATAAAGGTAAATATTCTTGGTGAGTAACGGTGTTCTTCTCGTTCGTGTGCTTTCAGACGTCCAATGGATTAAGTCGACGTCGACGAATCGCGCGAAACCGAGGACAGCCCACCCCAATTGGAACGGAATTCCGTAGACTCTTCGACGAGGAAGTCGCGTAACGATGTAAAGAACAATGTAACGCGTTGCCGTTGAGATAACAGCAACATTCGCGCCTCGACACGAAGCAGAAAGACGAGCAGAACGAGGGGGACGGATAAATCAGCGGACAGAGCCCGATCGATCGTTTCCTTTCCAAGGTTCGCGTTTCTTTTTTTTTTTCTCTCTCTCTTTTCTTCTAGCCCTCGAACGAGCCTCGACGACGCTAGGAATCGCCGCACGATCGCTCGACAGTCATCGTCGCCTACTTTCTATCGCTTCGAAACGACTGTCGAGCAAGATCGCCCGTAAAATCCCCCCCGAGAAACGAGTTTTACGACCGATTATGACAGCGAAACAGCGACGAAACGACCGTAATTACGCGAAGATCGTGCCGTGAATCCCTTTTTTCTCTGTTTCGTTCGAGGGCTAAAAAGTCAGGCCTGAAAGAAGTCCGGAGAACGCCTAACTGTCGATCGTTGCTCGTTAGACTCGAGATTCGTCGTTGCTGGAAACTTAACATTCTTAATCTTAGGACTCGTTCGCAAATTAAAGTATTTTCTGGTAATTCTAAAGTTTATTGACGTAAACAAATTCCAATCTGCATTCGGTAACATCGAGTGTTTAGTTCGAACGTGCAAACTTTCAATTTCCTGTGTAGCTTCGTTGCACAACAGTGTCATTTATCATGGGTTCGATTTCTGAGTCGCGTATCAAGCAACGATCGGCGATAGAACTTTTATCATTGTTGTTCGCAAAATTGAAAGGTCAACATTCTTTCAAGAAATAGGTGTTATTTCACGGCATATTAATTAAATTAATTATTTCTGAATTCCGGACTTTCGAAGCCTGCATTAAACGCCAAAACGTTTAAAGATAAGAAATTAAGTGCTCCTCAAATCACTTGCTTGTTTTCCCTCTGCGTATCGCCGCCGTTATCACGAAAACATAGAAAAGATAAGCATCTCCAATCGTTATCAGATATCTCTTATTTTGGCTTGAAATAGAATTTGCACAGGTGCGTTTAACGGGAAGCTCGTGTTGTAATCCTTGACAGTGTTCACGTTTAATCTCCCAAAGTGGATCAAAATTATGATTCCGTAAATTTAGAATATCTGCCAAAATCGCGATCTCACGCATGTTAGTATTTAGTGTACGATCTAATAACATGCGACACGTGGCGTTTTTCAGCTCCTATTGTTGTCTTCGAGACGAAGAAGAGACTCGGTACGGCTCCTCGTCGGACCACAAGGATTAGATTATATTAAATTATAAATCCCGTGTATCGTTTCTACGTAGTATCGCGAGAGATACACACAAACAAACACGTAAACACACACACACACACATACACACACACGACGTGAGTTTAAACAAAGAAAGATAGAAGGGTAAAGAGCGGAGAAGTATCGGGGAGAAGATAAGACGAGATGTACAGAGATCCGAACAGCTCCTCGGCTAGCGGCACCTCCACAAAGGGCGACGATGTCGAGATCGTTAGCAGATTTTTAGCGCCTTTATGCGCGAGGGATGAAACTGCCAGGAACATCGCCCTGGCGGCGGCCAGGAACACGGTCGAGGGATGGCTCGGGGGTGTCGGGAGTCCGAATCACTGGGACGACACCGGTGAGATGGAGGACGCGGAGAACCTTGCCGGAATGTTCAAAAGCCAAGATGGAAGGTGAGTATCGCTGAACGCAGCTTCCGCCGGTATACCTCGACGATAAAACCTGGCGTGTCAATATTGGGAAAGCTCCTATCGCGGATATCTTTCGCTCGTAAGCATCTTTCGCAAGAATTTCCGTTGAATTTTTACAAAATCCTGACCGAATGCTCTGGTCGATCAGAATTTGTTTCTGATCAAACTCGTTGGAGCAACAACTTTGTCGCGAAACTCGTGGATCGCTCGTACGGTTTATCCGACTAGATATAATTCAGGAACGCGCGTTTACCCGTTTCTCTATACGTACGTTCCGCTCTATCCCCCGTGGTAAACACGTAATGATTTATGAACGTCGAGGTGCCCGTTCCGTGGGAAAGATAACATTTACGGTCCCGGTATAACGATCCTTGGGCTCTCATTAAACGGTCGGAGAGAAAACTCGCGGAGTCACCCGCGGTTTGAGAGCAAACGCGCGAACGAGAGAGGTTTCCCATTCACTTCCGCGCGAATTTTTCGTTTCACGCTAATCGATAGCTTGCGTTACCTTTCACGCGAAGATACGACATGAGCGTGGAGCGTTCGCCGACCAAGTCAGCGCCGAAGAACGTGCACCAGCCCCCCCATCAGCAACAGCTACTGCAGGACATGTTTAGGACCGAGGGTTTCTTCCCCCAAAGCGTCACCGAGAATCCCCCGTTCCTCGAGGACAGTAGCCTAGAGTGTACCGAGAGATACCCGTCGGGATCGTTCGATTGCGTCGACGGACGCCTGGGGAACGAGACTGGCTACGGCACCCCGAACGAGAGGAGGCGATACGACCTGGAGAGCTACAGGTCCGGTCACTCGACGTCCTCCGACGAGGGGAAGGGCTTCAAGATCGAGCAGGACCGATACCTCAGGTTCAAAGACGGCTCGGAGACGCGTTTCGGGTCCAGCAGCGAGAGCGAGAGGAAGTTCATCGGGTCGTCGTCGAGCGAGAGGCTGAACGAAACGAGCCTCGAGGGTCGACCGAGGGCGACGAATTACGTGAAGGTGAAGGGGGCCAAGCAGAAGCAGCTGGAGGACGACGAGCTGGACTCCGACACCAGGATCTACGGGAAGAGTCCGAAGTTCGACGACAACCTGGCCGCGAATTTCGATCGTAGAAATTTGAATTATCGCCAGATAGGCGGGGACGTTCTGTCGCGGGACAGAAGGTGCTACGACAGCGGGGACGATGTGTCCTTCGACGAGACGGAGATCGCGATCAGGAATTGCGACGGGGTGGTGTTCAACACCCTGGACGGGTTCGAGAACGAGAACGCGAACGAGATCTATCACAGACAGCCGGACGACAATCGGGCCGAGGACATGAAGCTGCAGAATTTCGAGATCTTCGCCCGCGAGGACGAGCACCTGGATGACGGTCGTCAGCGTTGCGTGCGCTCCGATCAGCCCCAGGATTATCTGCGCAAGAACGACGAGAGAAAGTTCAGCGGCGGCCAGATCAAGAGACCGCTCTCGCAGGACGAGGATGTGTCTTTTAAGAGCGGAAGGGTGCTCGAGAGCCCCGACGTAACGCCCGGGGACGTCGGCAGGATGCTGAATCTGGGGAACGCGCTGGACGGGCCGAGGCAAGCACAGGCGAACAAGTATTTGAGCCTGGTGACGTTACATCTGCCGGTGATACTGAGGCTCAGCGTCAATTGCCCCTTCCAGAACGTTAGGATCAAGTGCGCCGAGATCTTGGAGATGGTCAAGGTAAGAACTGTATGGATTCTTTACATCTACGACTTTCCGACTTTGAGATTTTCCGACTGATACTGCTCATTGTCGTTTAGTTTAACACATGCCTTAGAAGGTCGAGAATAAATCAAAAAACATAATTTTTCGGAAGAGCAAAAAAACTGTATTTTGTAAAGGTAGTTTTATGCCATACTATTTTTTTCGTACGATGCAAATGGATTGATTGCGAACGGTATTGCAGAGCCCTAGCTTGCCGCTTATACGAGAGACAGAAAAGTTGCGCGAAGAGACGAGAGGTAGAGCGACAGGCTAGCCGAGCGACGTGGTGGGGGTAACCCTTCCGTGACCTTGAACGGCCAATTGATTTTATCTGACTATAGCCAATTCGAGCAAACAATAGAAGAAAATTACTATTCTGACCCTGTTCGACTTTAGAATAGATTCATTGTTATAAGATGAGAGTTTCGAAACATCTGGTACACGGAGCGTCAGTCGATTGTTGAGTATCGTTGAAGTTTCAATATCTGGTACAATGAAATTAGTTCAAGGTTGTTTAAAAACAATTTTCATCGGTCAACGGATCGATAAGAATCGTTAATTTCTTCTGCGATGAGAAGTATCCGTTCCGTGAGTCTGAAAAATATTTTCATTGATAGAAAATCTAATCGAAACGTATTGAACTGTTTTCGAGTTATGGCGGAACAAACATTCGAGCAGACAGACGGCCAAACAAGAGGAACAGTTTGAAAATACATTTTTCTCGCTTTGATAGCATTTAACAAACACAAATATATATCGAACATTCTATGAGAAAACAAACTAACACAAATTCCTGCTCTTGCAGATTTATTTATAAGTATAATGTGCTTTCGTTTTTACTTTCGATTTATCGATATTAGTAACGTTTTTGCTTTCAATTGATCTTGCTAACGAGAGCAAAGGAAACAAAGAATGCGAAGGAATTAGTTGAAGGTAAATAAAAGGTCGAAAACAGAGAAGTTTGAGATAACAGTCCACGGAACGTTTGTTTTTCACCCTGAGTCGTTCGTGTTGTGAGCATGTATCCGAACGTCTCGCAGTGGCCATTTAAAAACAGTAAACCGCAACGTTGGAAAAATTTTATGATCTCTCGGAGTCTCTCGTAAATAAACGGCCACCGTGGTCACTGGCACGGTTAGAAATTTAACAAGGGGGATGCGGCTAAAAACTAATAGAGACAAATGTGTTGCAATATTTTCCAGTTTTTAATCTATTAAAGTAGACAGGGGAAAAGTTTAATTAATAGAAATATACGAGGTACCATGTCAACATAGTAATAACATATGAAATAAAATCATCATTGATATATTCTACAGGTAAAACAATCAATTAAAAGATTTTATTTACAAGGGTCGTTTCTAATTTACGACGATTTTTATGACTTGCTGTCAAACGTTGTGGGGAAATGTTTTCGTCCTCTGATTTCAAGTGTAAATAAATTTAATAGCAGGGTGTGAAATTGGTCCTTTTGCACCCCCCGAGTGCACCACTGACCGTGGTCGTGCCATTTTGAGAAAGGGCTATTTCCATTCGTTCAATGGTCGGAAATACTATCGCTCTGTTCGCGCGAACCTCGTTGATAGCGCGATATGTACTTACTCTCATGCATCACGGATCGGGAAGTACCAGTGGTTACGTTAATGGAGTTGTTTTAACTGTTCTATTTATGGAACGAGTTCGAACCGTGGCCTAAAAATACGTCGACCACTTTGACTTGCTCGTTGCGCGAATGCCAGTCGTGTCTAACGTAGCTTCGCGAGAAAAGAAACTGAATCTCCAAAAAATAACGCATTATCGAACGATGTAATATAAATAACAACACGGAATTTCGCCGACAAAAGGTCTAAAACAAGCTCATTTACATTTATGGAAACTGATTTAAAAATCATTTGCTTTAAGAAACTTTAAAATCAAAAAATTACGCGTAAGAAATTGTAACATAGTTGTATCTACTGCTTGTTTTATTAACGTACAATTAATGTATTTTTGGGCAGAGTTTTTGTAATCAATAACCACACTGTAGTATGTAGAGACTGATCGATAGGGTTCCCTATGACTCATGAAATACATAACACGATTACGAAGCAAAGTTAAGCACGCGCGTTACATACCTAACTGCCGTTTAAAATTAAATATTTATTTTTAAATGCAATATATGTTTAATTTTTTTTATTGATAAAAGGGGTTGAACGGTATGGAATGAAAATGTTTTTTGAATAGAGAAAAAAAAGTCCGCCCAACGTGGGGCTCGAACCCACGACCCTGAGATTAAGAGTCTCATGCTCTACCGACTGAGCTAGCCGGGCAATTGAAAGCAGTGTTTAATATGAACATCAACAGTTGTTGGACCTGAAAATCATTAATAACAAGAATGTTTTTATATTATAGGACAGGGGACTACCAGTGCCAATGCCAGCTTTCGATGGACCCAGTGCCTTCGTCCCCACGTTCGAGGTAAGTACATTTTGAATCGTGTCTTATTCGTAGTTTTGTTCGTTCGAAATTTTGGTACCTATCGTTATTTTCGCAATATTGCAATCGTTCATAATTATCGTGTACCAGCGGACGAGAAATCGACGTGACAGTGTCAGATGTATGAAATATTCAAAGGTTTGTTATCGTGTAACCGTATATAATTTTGTCAGGCAACGTGTATGAAATTTTTGTTTATATTTGTTGTGTTCGTTCCATATGCGAATTATTGGAGCAAGAAAAACAAAATCATTATCCTCAGCTTAATCTAGGACATCGAATTGGCGCTCATAGCGCCGATAAGTTTCGCCCTGCGATTGGTAGTCGTCGGTAAAATCGAGTCTCACGATTGGTTGAGAGGAGGACGATGCCATGGATTGGTTCACATTTACTTGTCCCCTGGTAACCTTCAATTTAGTCTAATTAAGAACAATTAGGTGCTCTTCTCGCTCGGGTTGCTGCTTTTTGTAACACGTAAGGTAAAGAGTCCTTCATTATCAACTGAATATCTGCTTTATAATTTAATAAATCCCGTCCAAGATTTAATTGCCAATTAAATTGTTTGTGACTATACTGATTGCAATACAATAATGGTCAAATATTCAGGTATTTTTGTACATCGGTAATACTTTAATTTTCGTCGATAACTTTTATAATTTCAAAAGTGTCTCTTTTTTTTTTGTCGGTGCTTTGAATATATTTTATTAAATTAATACTATTTTGAAAATCAATACTTTTGATTTTTTTCTTGTAATCGAGGCAATACATCCGGGAATAGCTAAGAGATGGCGCCACACACGATTGCTAGTTGACTCGGCTCTTTTCGCGTTAATTAAATTTAATGAGATTAATAATTATTGTGACAGTTTAATTATATTTTCAGACGTTCTTGAAAGTGTAACTCGGTGTTAAATTAACCCTTCGTAACCCCGTGTTATGTCAAGGTCACATACACGTACATTCACATGCTTACAAAATTGGATTTTAACTTTTTACCAATACATGCTGTTATGGCTTTAAAGCAGTGATATGGCCAATTATATGTTCATAATCATTGCTAGGTGTTATTTCTGTGTTTCTTAAAAGTTTATCTTTCAATAAGTACCTTTTAACGCGAATTCTTATAAATAAAGAGATACTTGTGTATCAAATGTAGGTGAGTAAGTCGTTTTTACACTAAATATTTATGTATCATTTATCAAGACTTTGAAGATCAAAAAATATGTCAAGCTTATTGTTCATATAAATCATAAATATAGTTCAAGGAATAGAAAACTTCAATCGACAAATTTTCTATTCCTTTAATGCATATTCATCGATGTTCTATCGTTCGATGTTGCTTGAAAGCTAAAAATAATTTGGTTTATAGAATGTTAAGTTTGCAATTTTTTTTCTTCACGTCCGGTTTGCTAAAACATGTTACTGCGTCTGAAAACCGCACCATCGAGTTCATATAAAATTGCTTACGAGTAAAAGCGATGTCTTTCGTACGACAATATTTCACTCGAACGAAAATTCAGGATATTTGATTATTCATAGCTTTTCGTTCGTTGCTTTTTCAACCCACGAATCGCAATTTCATCCATCTGACAAAAAACACGTACCGACACTATATAACAAATAATTTTCTGCAGCCTCTGTCGGTTTTATCCAGTTTCTTTTCGTTCATTTATTTATTTACCTCTTTTTTAAATTTACGCGTCCACGTTGAATTCGGCGATCGTATTCGGTGTTCCGCCGCAAATCGTTTTTCATTCTCCCCACGAAATTTAGCACGAAGTGAATGTTTTACTTCATGCCCGTTTACTTATTTCGTTGGTTATGTTTTGTGCAATTTCGACGAAGAAAGAGTACAAGGTAAGTACGAAATAAGGTACTTTGTCACTTTTACCGCTAACGTGTCCACGCACAATCGCCCCGTCGTGAAAAATTAATTTTACTTGTCCCGGACGCTTTCGCCTAGAAACAATTAACGCGGTGGAATAAAAACTTGTTCAATTTTTTCGTCGTTGGTCACGGACATTTGCTCCAATTTAATACGTTCGCGTGATTCCCAGTTTCAATCCAATGTATTTTTGTTAAAGTAAATAACGCGTGGTTTGCTCCGCGCGAGCGTAACGGATTTACACAATGAGAAAGTAATTACGTTTCGCGAAACGATCCGTTTCGAAAAACGGTGTTTCACGATCTCGTCTCCGTATTGTCCAAACATCAAATCGACCAACCGTTCCGAATTTTCGGGTATCCGGATTTATTAACGCCCCGTCGTATTTATTTTTGCCAGGTGGGGGGGTTAAATATAATTTGGGTTACGGGGAGTTTAATTATTCGAATAGTTCCAGGCCTACTTGCTCGCTCGAAACGCGATTAGCCACTGGTTTCGTGAACCCGCCAAGATTCTGGGTGCTGGTAATTACGATTCGTGCGCGAGAAACGGATATTAACTGGCATCGTACAAACGCCGCTCGAATCCGAAGAAGCAGGCAGTGAAACACGACTACCTCGCCTCGCGATCGTTTTCCTCCTGAATCGTGCTCGCACTTATCGTAATTACTCCTCGCAGTCAGACACGGTTTAACGCTAAAAGCCGATCACGCGATCCGCGAATGCGTCTCCACCCGCGTCATTCGATACCGATTTCCTCGCGCCTAAACCGCGATTCGGAAGAATTTTGCGGGATCGTTAATCTCACTTACGCGTGCACGCGACGACGCACGGAACGAATTGTCTCGTGTCGAACTAATAAACCGAGAACCTCACGATCTGTCGCGAAGAAATTAATCAACTACTCGTTAAATCTCCAACTAGACGCTCTTCAACGAAGTTGCAAAATAGTTATCAATTTTTAAACCTGAACTAAACGAATACTCCGAAAGAATTGATATACTCAAAGGAAGAAATTACTGAATTATTTGTTAAATCTTCAAACTCCTATCGAAGAGGTTGTAAGAGATATAATATAATGTTTCCAAGCCGTGGAGCTCAGAATGAAAAATTTATGGGGAGAGAAATGAATTTTTTTTTGAAACTCGGCAAAGTTGCCGGAAATCGAATAAATTCGCCGCGCGCCAAATCCTCTTTCTTCCATTCTGGAGCGGTTAATTTGGTCCTGGAGAGGCATCGAGGGGCGAAAAATGCTGAAAAGTATGCACAGATTCCGGATCACGTGACTTGGCCGGACCCCACGTGTCCGTCCAGCGGAATTTCAGCCGGTGCCGCATCGAACCAAGTTCAAACTGCCCTGAATTTCTAACGCGGCACGCGATTTCCGCGGCATCTTGGAGCTGTGCCCGAAGTTTGCCAAGTGAAAGAGCCCCGGGACAGGGAAGGGGTCACGAGGAGGGGAACCGATGCTCGCGGGAATCCTGGTCAGGTCATCGCGAGTCGGTAGCTCGGCCCGGCGGCCGCAAGTGACTATAAGTGTCTCGTATACAAGCTCCATTGAAGATCTAATTGAATCCCTTTCTTGCCGTTTTCCTTTCCCGGCGGCCTCTGACTTTTCTCCGCCCGGATCCGCGTCTTCGTCGAACGACGTCGATCTTTTTCGCCGTTTCGCGAGCCGCCCTCCCGGGAAATCGTATCCGGGCCGGAGTTGTCCGTCGAGTGCCATCGAATCTGTAATTGCATCAACGCTCTCTTTGACGAGGTCTTCTGGTCACGCATAAATTCCCGGGGTCGTTGACTTCTTTCCGTACGTCTCTCAATTGCCTGGCAGCCGGTCGCCAATTTGAAACGCGTACACGTGCATCGCGAATAACACATTGTCGACAATGCGTATTGTCGTGGCGTGACTTGTATAGGCTCGAGGCGAGGCGTACGAGTAGATCTTACACCTCGTGGACTTTCGTGGCATACCGACCTGGAAAATTCGTAGGTCATTTTAGCGTTATCTTCTCGTGGATGACGGTCAATTAAAAAAAAAAAACTATTCTTTGAATGGGTAGACAGCTGTAGTGTGTGCGGCAATTTTTAGACAAAATTAACAAATTTCAAATCGTTTTGAAAAAATTATTCTCGGTTGCAGGGGTCAATTATAATCATTTTTGGTCAATAGACATACCCTCGAAATCCTACTCATTTTTGAGAAAAAAATTCAGTAAGTGGATCAATTTTTCGACAAAATTGAAAAATTTTCAATCGTTTTGGAAAAAATATTTTCGGTTACAGGGATCAATTACAATCATTTTCGGTCAATACGTATACCCTCGGAATCCTACGCACTTACGAGAAAAAAATTCGAGTAGGTATTGAAATTTTTCGGCGAAAAAAAAATTTCAAACCGTTCTGGAAAAATTATTTTCGGTTGCAGGGGGCAATTACTATCATTTTGGGTCAATAGACATACCCTCGAATTCCTACTCACTTTCGAGAAAAAATTCAGTAAGTGGATAAATTTTTCGACAAAATTAAAAAATATAAAATCGTTTTGAAAAAATTATTTTCGATTGCAGGGGTCAATTATAATCATTTTTGGTCAATAGACATACCCTCGAAATCCTCCGCATTTTCGAGAAAAAAATTCGAGTAGGTATTGAAATTTTTCGGCGAAAAAAAAATTTCAAACCGTTCTGGAAAAATTATTTTCGGTTGCAGGTGGCAATTACTATCATTTTGGGTCAATAGACATACTTTCGAATTCCTACTCACTTTCGAGAAAAAATTCAGTAAGTGGATAAATTTTTCGACAAAATTAAAAAATTTGAAATCGTTTTGAAAAAATTATTTTCGGTTGCAGGGGTCAATTATAACCATTTTTGGTCAATAGACATACCCTCGAAATCCTCCGCATTTTCGAGAAAAAAATTCGAGTAGGTATTGACATTTTTCGGCGAAAAAAATAATTTCAAATCGTTTTGAAAAAATTATTCTCGATTGCGCGGGTCAATTACAATCATTTTTAGTCAATAGACATACCCTCGAAATCCTACGTATTTTCGAGAAAAAAATTCGAGTAGGTATTGAAATTTTTCGGCGAGAAAAAA